TGGCTGGGGGATGTCTCAGTCCTCCCCACCTCACCGGAGGGAAGCGCTGTGCATTCCCAGTGGGATGATGCTGCTGCCCGGAGCTCCCTGCGGAGACAAACCCTCCCAGCTCCTTCTGAGACACCGTGTTGGAGCCGCAGCAGCTCCAAAAACTTCTCTGCCACCACTGTCTCCATCCTAAAGTATTTTGTCGCCTCCTCCACATCAGAGCCTCTTTTATCCAAGTCTCCACAACGGGAGTTTTGCTTTTTCCATGGTTCTCCAGGATAGTCCCATTTTTAAGCCAGAGCTGTGGCAGATGAGTTATTAAGAGCAGGCTCAGCACAGAGGCTGCTTAATCACTTCAACAAGGGATCAAGCCTTAAAATAACATCCTTTCCACCCAACATAGCTGTGGTCTGAGCATCCCCCCTGCCTGCCCACCCTGCTGCTGTGTTTTCCAAAGGGATTTCAGCTTCACAGGGAGGGCAGAAACAGGCACAGCACTTCTGGACACAGCATGGACACAGCTCCCTGCCCCAAGCCTGGGCAGGGAGAGGTCCAAACAGCCCCTTCAGCCCCCCCAGAACAGCCCTCATGCCCAGCTCTGTTCTCTCTACAGATCGAATTCACGGCAGAGCAGATCGAAGGTAAGCACTGAGTTCACCTTCTCCCAGGGATGGGAAATGGGGAATCCTTTTTCCAGGCAGCTTTGCACCATAGATGTGAGAGCTCCCACACATCCCCTCGAGGGGAAATGATCCAAAGCATGCCAGGGAAAAGGTATTTTTCATTCATGGTGTCAGGGATTCTGGTGGGAGGAGCAGCCTCTGGTGATGCAGGGACAGTCCTGGCCCAGGAGAAAAGGGATGAGGGAAGGGGATGTTTGATGCCACCTGATGCTGGTGGCACAGGGACCCTGCAGGTCACCCAGCCAGCTCTGCACAGGGCACAAAACCTGCTGGAGCAGCTGAATGACTCACTGCAGGAACCTGCCAAGCCTCAGCCTGCATTGCTCAAGCTCACCCAGGGGTGCTCAGAGGACACCCACCATGCACATGTCCAGCCCTTCCCTGCCTGCCAGTGGGGTGGGAAATGAGGCTGGCATGGCCTGGGACACCTGAGCTCTTCTTCTTCCCAGAGTTCAAAGAAGCCTTTGGGCTGTTTGACCGGACACCCTCGGGGATGATGCAGATCACCTACGCTCAGTGTGGGGATGTGCTCCGGGCGCTCGGCCACAATCCCACCAACGCAGAGGTCCTGAAGGTGCTGGGCAAGCCCAAACCAGAAGGTGACAGCAAACTGGGGATAGGGTGGGTCAAACAATCCCTCTGCTCCCTGGCAGCCAGCGGAGGATTCCGTTCCCTGCAGGTAGAATCCTGTGAGGTGAAGGAATTGGGAAGGAAATTATGCAGACAGGTTTCATTCCTGAGTAATTCCTTCACTCCCCCATACCAGGGCTGACGTAAGGGATGGGCAGTCCTCACCTAGGAATGGTGGCAATGCTTAGCAGACTTCACCCTGAACTGGTGCAAACTTGTGTAACCTGACCAGTCCCAGTGTAGACTTGATGACAGTTTTAGCTGGTTTAGTTTTGGGGGGATATCAGAGGTCTCTGTGCAGCCCCTGATGTTAATACTTTATTCCTCCTGTGGATTTTCCAATCTAATACTCCCATCTCCTCGTGGGGCTTCTCCCCTGTGCTCAAATGGAAAACAGACCAGGAATGTCAAGCAGGAGACCCTCAGGGACTTGAGTTCAGCTCTGAGACCGTGTCCTCCTCTCTTTCCAGAGATGAACACGAAGCTGTTGGACTTTGAGACCTTCCTGCCCATCCTGCAGCACTTCACCCGCCACAAGGAGCAGAGCACCTTCGAGGACTTTGTGGAAGGGCTGAGGGTGTTTGACAAGGAGGGCAATGGGATGGTGATGGGCGCAGAGCTGCGTCACGTGCTGGTCACGCTGGGTACGGGCGAGGGCCACCCACAGCTCTCTCTGGGCTAGTGTGGCTCCTTCTGGGCAGTTGGGTGGGCTCAAGTGTCCCAGAGATTCTTCTCCCTCTGCTGCTCGTAGACTTGTGGAGGAGTTACTGACTCCTGACTATGTGACCTTTGCCATCTCCTGCCACAGCTTCATGCGTGATCCGGGTGGGATGGAGAGTCCAGAACAGCCTCAGTTGTCAGACAATCATTGAAGCTCAAGGCTCTCTCCACAGTCTCCCACCAGCATTCCCCAAAAGTGGCACACAGCTCCTCTTCAATCCCCTTTTCCTTCCTCTGGTGGCTTTGGCTCTCTGGAAGAAGGACAAGAAGGTCCTGGCAGGCTGAGAATCCTTCCCCTCACCTCTCCATCCTTCTGTTCCAGGGGAGAAGATGACAGAAAGTGAGGTGGAACAGCTCATGGCAGGGCAGGAAGATGCCAATGGCTGTATCAACTATGAAGGTAGGAGGGAGAGTTTCCCATCCCAGAGTTGTCTTGGCTTAGGGTGCAAAATGTGTCCTCTCTCTGTGACAACTCCAGTTAGACTCGATGACCTTACAGGTCTCTTCCAGCCTTAATGATTCCATGATTTTGGGGATCACTGAGAGGGAGTTGTGGATCACCCTCCAAAGCAGAGAAGAGCACTGAGACATGTCACCTGGGTTGGGAACAGTGTGGTCATGCCAGTGATTTCCAGGAAAAGCAGCTGAAGACAGCATGTTTCTGGGGTTTTCAGGGCTGGTTTATCCCCAGTTTTGGCACTGTTCTCTTGTATCAAAAACAAACAAAGGCAGCATCTCTCTCAGCAGAGGCTAATTGGGATTGTTTGGAGACCTGGATGGCTCCCAGCTCCAGGAGGGGGAAAATCTGGCATAGGAGTGGTTAAATCTGGGACCCCCTAAAGTGGGAGAGCATTGGGGAAAAGGGGGCACACTTTTGGCCTCAGAAAAATGAGGATACTGGTACCAGCTCATCTCCAAGGGTTGGGTTCACTCTAATCAGGTTGGAGATGGCATACAAAAAGTGGGAACAGGAGGAATATCAGTCCTGGCAGAGCATCCTCTTCAACCCTGGGGTGTCCAGGCTGGGGGTTCCCCCTGCTGCTTCTCCACCTGCCCCCAACAACATGTCCTGACCTCTCACACTCTCATTTCTCCTCAGCTTTTGTCAAGCACATCATGTCTGGCTGAAAGGAGAAACTTCAGGTGAGTTCATTGAGGTCTCCTGCTGCTTCCTCTGAAGTTGGAAATCCTGCACATAACATCCAGGGACAGAGGGACCAAACCCCAAACCTGCAGTGGACTAAAGCAATGGGGATGGTCCCAGCTCTGAAGGCACAAAACACTGTGTGGATGATCAGGAATCTCATTTGAAGTCCTGTCAATTAAAAACTATCAGGGCAGCATCACCCCCATGAGGGTCAGTCATGAGTAAAACCTGCAGCAGTGAATGCCTCAGTCTAAGAAAATACAAAGTACTTTGGAAATTTCTAAACTGAGAAATATCAACATTCCCATTAGTGTTAGAAAGAAGATGGAAAATGTAGCATGGATGCTTATTAAGCATTTTTTTTGTGTGTTCCTAAAATCTGCCCAAGGAAAAGGTTTCTCTCAGGGTGAACTATCCCCCTGGAATCTATTCAATCTGAAAGCAAACTCGAATTTCTGGCTGCCCCTGCCACTTTCTTATGCTTTCATTGTCTATTTACTTTTCTCAAACACTTCTCCTCCCCTCAGCTGTGGCAAAGGCAGCAGGCCAGAAAAAAAAGAGAGAAAAATGACCTTCAGATACTGCTAAATACACAAATTAAACATTTTAAAATCTCTTCCCTCCCCAAGTCTCTTCAAACATCCAAATGTTAAAACAGAGACAGAAGTTTGAACTTTGACTGCTCAGAATCCTTTTTATCTTCCTTTGAACCCATTTCTCTCTGGTTCCTGCTCATCAGCTCAGCAATGTGTGTGGTTGGGTGGCAAACACTGCCAGGAGATTTGACTCTTCACAAAACTTGGCATTTAAAACTTTTTTTTTTTTTCATGATATGGAGTTACAGCTATTGAGATTTTGGGCAATGAGAAGGAGAACTCTCACAGATTCACTGAACTGAGCCCTCTCCTACTTGTCCCTCAGGCTCTTGGGAATGTTTGAAGCCACCTGAGCACCACGAAAAGAGAGATTCCTCCATCCATGTCCTTTCCTTGGGATGTTTGGCACAAGCCACAGGGAAATGTTGACCTTCAGGTGTGTGTGCCTAAGTCTGGTACTCAGTGAGACATCTGCAACTTAGTTTTAAACCTTGAGTTAATTCTTTTCAGGTTTTTCCTGTGACATTTGGCTCATTAAATTTCATTCCTTCCTCCCTGACATGGTTTGTGTGCTTTGGCTTTGGCTTGGGACTGAAGGATGTGGTGGATGGAGGAGATTTCTCTGTCTCTACCTGCTCTCACAGGCAGCAGGATGGTCCCTCAGAGAGAGGAAAGGGCAGAGAATGTGAGAGAAGAGTTCAGATTTGGGGGTGAGGATCATCAACCCTCCTTGGTGTGGGCCAGGAGCTGGGCAGACCTGGAGCAAAGAGAGCATGAGGGACAGGTTGCATCAGACAACCTGTTTTTGGGAGGTATTTCTGGGCCAGGTCCCACCTGCAGCCTCCTGGCCCAGGGTGGCAGGTCCCTGGGGTGTGAGGAGTGACCTGCCAGGGATGAAACCAGCCAGGATGGGCTCCCTGGATGGTTCAAATGTTCCAGCCAGGAGCTGTCTGGGGGCTGTGTGATACAAGCTGGTGTCTCTCTGCCTCTTCCTACCTGCAAAACAACCAGCAGAGCATCACCACCAGTGGTGAATAATTCATGGCAGACACTCAGCCCTCGCAGCAGCAGAAACACCTGGGAGCAGAAAACACTCTCCTTTGATTTGTTCCTTTCTCCAACGTCCTCACTCTGACTTTGACTGGAAACTGAAGGCGTTTTGCTCCGATGTGGTTGACTTCAGCTGCCACTAGCTCCTTCCTGTGCAGTGCCTGGGCAACAGCTGCTTTCAATTCCCACTGTTTGATTCAGCTGCTCATAAAAAGCAACATAAGCTGTTTATAGATGCAAGATTAGATTTGAGCTCCTCTCTGTGCTATCCCTACAGCTTCCATTAGGCAGAATCTGAGCATCTCATGTCTTTAGTGTCCTGTCTGTGCTTTAACCTCTCAAAGGCCTGTGGTGATGGGGTGAGAAGGGACACTGCTGGCTGCACATTCACTCTGGGCTCACGTTTGTCCTTGTCACTGCTGTGGCATCAACTCCTGCAGAGGAACGTGCTGTGGTGGAGAGGGATGGAGCAGAGGGGAGGAAGGGACCTGCCTGGACTCAGAGGAGATCCAGAGCAGGGACTGGGAGCCCTGGAGCTGTGATATTCCTGGTATAGCCATGATATCCCTGCTAGGATGCTATCCCTGTTGTAGCTATCATATTCCCTGGTATTACCCATGATATTCCTTGCTATAGCCATGATATTCTCTGCTATAACCATGATATTCCTGCTAGCCATGATATCCCTGCTATAGCCACAATATTCCCTGCTATAGCCATTATATTCCTTGTTTTAGCCACAATATTCCCTGCCCTGACAAGCCAAGAGGCTGCACTCTCACTCCTCCACACAGAGCACAAGCTTTGTGTTTGAGCCTCCAGCTTCTGTGCTGACAGGATTGGCACCAAATTAAATCCAGAGTGAGTCCTGCAGGGAGGCACAGGAAGAGAGCAGTGAAAAACAACAGAACTACAGGAAAACATAGTTTTCCATGTGAAAATCCAGCCCTTGAAACATCCTAGGGGTAAGAGTAAGCCACACTTCGCTCTGGGGATATGTTGTGTCTCTTTAGGATAAAGCAGAGCTGGTTTGGGGCAAAGCAGGTTGGAATGATGCACTTAATAGGCAGATTGTAGATGTCTCTAGCTATGCACCTCTGTGTGTGCCTCTTGGAAAAGCTGCTCCCCTCTTCCTTTGGAAAAGCTGAGGATTCCACAGAACAAGCAGTTTTAGTCCCACAGACCTGTATAAAAGCATCTGTGGATGGCAGTGAGTGACCCACAGCCAGATCTGCACTGCAGCAGTGTCTGTAAATCCCCAGCTCCAAAAACAACAGTAAACATTGACTTTTTCCAGTCTGGAAGCTTTTCATAAAGCCCAGGGACTCTGAGGAGAGGCAGAGGTAATCCCCACGCCCAGGGGAGCCTGGATCTCCTCAGGCTGTGATAAGACAGACTCTCACACCAAAGAAGGTCTGGATGTCCAGAGCCAGCACTGTGCCCTGTGGAATGGGAGACAGTCGGAGCCAGAGTTATCCCCAGGAGTTATCAGCAGTGCACGTCGGGCAGCGAGAGCAGGAGGAGGAGGAGGAACATGGAATGTGCTGCTTGGAAGGTTCACCTAAAGATGCAACTCCTGCTCACGTGCTCAGCAGCACATCAGGATCTGACTCTCAGGCAGCTGAGAGCAAGGGCAGGATGGAGCACAGAGTCTGTGGGGAGGTGTGTGCCAGGGTGGTGGGACAGCCCTGGGACTTCCCAGAGCCCTGAGTGTCTTGGCTATTGCATTGGATGGGCCAACGTAAACTTCAGGGAGTTTAACAACATGAAGTGCAAGGTCCTATGTCTGGGTCATGGCAATCCCAGGTATAGGTTAGGTGGGGAAGGGACCAAAAGCAGCAATGAGGAGAAAGACTTGGGGTATAGGTTGGGTGGGGAAAGAACTGAAAGCAGCAATGAGGAGAAAGACTTGGGGGGGATGGTGGATGAGAAAATCCCCATGTGTGAGCTCACAGCCCTGAAACCAACCCAATCCTGGGCTGCATCCAAAGGAGTGTGAGCAGCAGGTCAAGGGAAGTGATTCTCCTACTCTGCTCTGGTGTGGCCCACCTGGAATCCTGCACACAGTTGGGTGGGGAAAGAACTGAAAGCAGCAATGAGGAGAAAGACTTGGGGGGGATGGTGGATGAGAAAATCCCCATGTGTGAGCTCACAGCCCTGAAACCAACCCAATCCTGGGCTGCATCCAAAGGAGTGTGAGCAGCAGGTCAAGGGAAGTGATTCTCCTACTCTGCTCTGGTGTGGCCCACCTGGAATCCTGCACACAGTTCTGGTGTCCTCAATATGAGAATGACATGAAACTGTTGGAGCAAGGCCAGAGGAGGCCACGAAGTTGCTAAGAGCACTGGAGCATCTCCCTGTGAGGACAGGCTGAGGGGGTTGGGGCTGTTCAGCCTGGAGAAGAGAAGGTTGTGTGGAGACCTCAGAGCAACTTTTCAATATCTGAAG